GCTTCTTCAGCTTCATGATCTCCTCAGCCTGAATGGCGATATCCGTGGCTTGTCCAGGTCCCGTAACACAGATGATCCGTTCTCGGAGCAGACGAGAGTAAATGTCATAGGCCCCTTCTCCCCGGCCCGTCTGCTCCACCACGATGGGGATGAGGGGCCGCGCCCAGGTCGGGGTCCCGTGCAGGCTCCAAAAGGCCAGGCCCGCCCAGGAGCGCAGCTGGAGAGGCCGCCCGAGCCCCCGAACCGCTATCCGGGGCCACATTCCGAAGCAGCGGAGCTAGAGGAGACGATGACGCGAAATCAGCACGCCGCCAGGCTACCCGGAAGCAATCTTCCCCTTGGCGGGGCCTTTTATGCCTTTAAAAACATTTTTTAGAGGTCCCTAGGATTCACCAGACTGCCAAAGAGACCTAGGACAAAAAGTTAAGAAACATTACATACATTAGAGAAAACCAATTCACACAATCTTCCCTCTTTCCTGTGCCACTGAAGCACCTAAGTTTTCAAAACAAGCCTTCAAGCAGTATATTGGTGCAGTGGAATGAGTGTGGGACTTAAAGTGCCAGCCAGGGTTTCAATCTTGGTTTTTTTAATTGCTCCATGAGCTAGGGCAAGTGACTCTATGTTTCTTTTTGTTTGTTTTTTGTTTGTTTGTTTGTTTTTCTTGTTTTAGGCAATTGGGGTTAAGTGACTTGACCAGGGTCACACAGCTAGTTAAGTGTCAAGTGTTTGGTTTGAGGCCGGATCTGAACTCAAGTTCTCCTGAGTTCAGGGCCGGTGCTCTATCCACTGTGCCACCTAGCTGCCCCTCCATCTTTCTAAGATTCAGATTCTTCTATTGTCAAGTGGAGTACCTAATAGAGTATTTTGAGAAAAGTGATTTGTAAACCTGTAAAAGTGCTTTATATTATTCTGGTTTTGGAGAGAACAAAGATTGGCATCTTAGGCTTTGGGAAAGTTAGTGTAGTTTCAAAAGACCTAAGTTAGAATCCTTACTCTGCCATATGCTAGCTGTGTGACCTTAGACAAGTTATTTCCCTTCTCTGGGCCTCAGTTTGTTCATTTATAAAATGAGGGAGATCTAAGTTCTTTAAAGTCTCTCCTAGCTCTGAGCCTGTGATTCTAAGATGTCCAGTCTATTGTTTTCTCATGGAATTCATCTCACTCTTCTGAAGAAGCCAACAACTTTGGACTGTTTCTCCAAAGTTTATGATAGAAGTACACTTGTAACTATGAGCTGATGCGACTCTTTCAGAAATAACTATTTGGAAGTCTAAAAAAGGGCTCATATATGGTGATTTCTCTCCCACAACTAACAGTCACAATTCACTGTCTTTTAGGGAATATTTTCCAGGTTGCAAAAGGGGAAATCAAATTGATGAGCTACCATTTGCTTCTTGCTGCCCTATTGAGCTGCAAGAAAGAAGGCAGATTCCAGGTGGACATTTGGAAAATCCAAGTGTGAAAGAACAATGTGAAATCTCAATTCTCCAAGATGGTTTTGGGAGGTGAATGCAGTCTCTTGGGCCCCTGTGGGGCTTGGTTCCTAAGGAAACTAATCCTCGCTCTCCTCAGTGTTATGCATCACTGGTGTTGAAGAGCTTCGACTTGAAGGCTCTGTAAACAGCCCCCTGAGCAGGCTGGATCGGAAAGTCACTCTCTTCCCAATAGGATGTGAAACGTATTAATGTCACATCCACTCAACTGAGCATGCTCACTCAATGAGGAGGGGAAGGAGCTAATGGGCAGTCTCTTTATCTAAACTTACACAATGCTGGTATGATGTTACTGTGCAAAAGTAAGAAGCATAGAGGTAGCTTAGGAAAGGCAAATTTTGTAATAAAGCCATTGGAAACTGAGGTTGAATTTAGATAAGCAAACTATCTATATAAGTAAAGCCAACAGATATTTTGACTCATTATTATTCCTGTCAATAGAAAGGCAGCATGGTATAGTGAATAAATAGATAGTAGTCCTCTCCAAGACTCAGACTTTTCGGTTTTTTTTTTATTGGTGAAGCAGAGTTAAGTGACTTGCCCAGAGTCACACAGCTAGTAAGTGTCAAGTTTCTGAGGCCAGATTTGAACTCAGGTCCTCCTGACTCCATAGCCAGAGCTCTGTCCACTGTACCACCTAGCTGCCCCAAGACTCAGATTTTTCACTTGTCAAATGAAGTACTTAACAGTTATTTTGAAGAAGGTTATTTGTCTTCTTCTAGAGTCTGGAAGACCTGGGTTCGAGACTTACCTCTGACACATACTGGCTGTGTAACCCTGTATAAATCACTTGTCCTCTCAGTGCCCCCAAGCAACTCTCTAAGACTTTAAGTTAAAAATGGGGATCTGCATTGGTAAAAGGAGTTTTCTCACCAGGAATTCCCTAAATCAATGAAATCACAGGTCTGCATCCTGCAAAAACATTACTAATAATACTTCCTTACATTAATATGTCTTTTAGGCTTATAAAGAAAGTTCTTCACAACAGCCATAAGATAGAATAAAAAATTTCAGTCCCATAATATTTGACCTATGAAGCTCATCCCTCAGAACAACCTTGTGAGGTATGTAGTTTAAGTATTGTTGTCCACATTTCACATGAGAGTGGTGTGTGTGTGTGTGTGTTTGTCTGTGTATGGTGTAGTGTAGTGGTTCTCAAAGTGAGGTTTGAAGACCACTGGGGGTCCCTGAGACCCTTTCAGGGGGTCCTCAAGGTAAAAAATATTTTCATAATTATACTGACATTTTAATTTCTAATACTGTATGTATTGATAGACATAACCCACATTAAAGAGAAAAAAAAGCTTTTTGGAGAGATCCTCAATATTGATGAATGTAAAGAAGTCTTGAGACCAAAAAGTTTGAGAATTCTTAGTGTAGCAGATTAAGGGAGCTAGCCATGGAGTCAAGTTACACCAAAGTTTATGTCCTCCCTCAGACACATATTTATTGAGCATGGGCAAGTCATAACCTCTTAGTGCCTCAGACAACTCTCTAAGATTCTAGTTTGCATGACAGTTGCTGATCTGCATTGGAAGAAGGACCTTCTCCAAACCATAGTTTCCAATACCAAAGAAATCACAGATTCTCTCTCTCTCTCTCTCTCTCTCTCTCTCTCTCTCATGTATACATGCACAGACCAGTGATGCCATTGGTGTAGAGAACCCCAGATGAAGAACTCCCTCTGCCAATGTAGATCAGTACCTTCTCTGCAACTTATTGTCCATGACTGGACCGGGAGGTTAAGTGATTGGTGCACCATCACCCAGCCAATATGACTCAAGAGGCAGGACTTGAACTCAAATCATCCTGATCCCACTGCCAACTCTCTCTGCTACACCATGCCCCTTCCCACTTAAATTTCTAATCACAGTTAGTTGTCAGTTTTTGTTTGATTCTCACATGTTATATAATCAGGGCGCAAGGACTATCATTCTATAATCATAGCTTTCCCAACTGTTTTACCTTACTGACTTACTTGCTTCTCTCATCCTTTTTTGGCTCTTGGAGACAAGCAAGCAAAGGTTGGGCATGATAGAGGAGGCAGGGGGCAGTCAGTAGTCCAGTTTAGAGGAATTATAGAATCCTTAGGGTGGAAGAGTGTGAGATAAGATTAGAAAATTAGTGGTGCTGGATCATGGGGTTTCATATCAAGGAATGAGTTTGGACTTGACAGTGTTAGGAATAGGGAACCATTGAAGGATTATGAGAAGATGAATGACATGAGCAGATCTATGCCTCTGGAAGTTATCTGGTAGATGTGTGAAAGAAGAATTGGAGAGAGGAAAGAGTGGAGTAGGGAGGGGGTTGTTGGAACAGTCTAGTCAAATGGTGACAAGGCAGAGTGGATAGAGATCTAGGACTGATGTTAGGAAGCTCTGAATTCAAATTCCCACTCTTCTGAGTATAGAAGGGTTGATCAGTAGAACCCCTGATTTACTGTGCAGACCCTTCTCGACTTCATCCCCTCCAATAGAGTATGTACACTTTGGTTCTGTTGGAAGGCACATATCCTTCAGTAGATCCCATAGTTTACCTGATCACCCTTGTTACATTACATGCTACTCTGTGATCAACAAGTAACATAACTTTCTAGGAATAAACTCCTCATTGGGGAGTTGTTTGTGACCTCTATGTGTACAGGAAGCTCCTTTCCTTGTAGTTATTGACAAAGTCACAGATGCTTCAATACATTATTGCTTATGGGAGATGTGAACGACAAAGTAAAAACTATCGAGAATTGATGCTGACAGCTAGAAAATCTTTCAAACTAACCTGAAAGGGATTGAGTGGGATTAGAATATTGGTTTGTGAACTGTAGCTAGGACTACACAGCTAGGTACAGAGGTGTGTAGCAATGGACTCACTTGGGGCTAAAGGCAGAGTTATGGCCGAAGTGCTGTGGTTAGGGCCCTGGGGTTAGGCCAGAGGCCTGTGTCTCTCCATTCCAGGGCCAGCTGTGCTGCTCTGGAGCTAGCCTCTCTATTGCTGATCCTCTTTTTTGGCTGGGGCCCTGGACCGGGTGGCACCACAGGGTCAGGCACAGTTGCTCTGGTTTGGGGAAAGGATCGGGGGTGGGGGTGGGGAGGGCGGAAGAATTTCCTGTTCAAAAATTAGAATGTATCCATCTTGAAGATGCTCTTTGACGGAGGCGAAGCAAGGCAAAGGACACTGAAGTTAGTCTAGGATAAGGTAAACGCTAGGGGGTTGGGGGTGGGAGAAGAGGCGGAGACAGGGAGATTCCACCTTCTTTCCTGTCCCATTGGGAGCTAAGTGGGGAGAAATTCCAGAGGGCGATTTTAGAGGTTCTCAGGAAGCGCGAAACCAAAGGGTTAACACAAGGATCGAACGAATAAGGGGCGGGGGGGGGGGCACTCAAACTAAACTAAAAGAAGGAGCTCTTGGCTCCTCCCCTTCTCCACAGTGTCAGCACGCATCTCCCTCTCACCCGCCCCCCTCACTCGTTCCCTCCCTCCCCTCCCGTTTACAAGATCTAATGAGCTCCCCTGGGAGCTAGAGAAAAGATCCCGGTTTCGGAGCGCACAGAGGGCCCGAGTCTGCTGCGCTAGGCAGTCTCGGGAGCGGGAGCAAGCGATACAGCTGCTGCGAAGCCCACCCTGGACGGGGAGTGAGCTGAACTAAGGCCTGGGGAGTGGGAGAGTGGCTGTGGACGCCCAAGGGAGCAACCTCCCGGGGTCCAAGAAGTTCCCATTGGAAAGCGAAGTTAGGCGCCAACTAAGCTACTGAGACCCGAGCAGAAAAAGTCGTAGCCGGGGCTGGGCGGCCTCGAAGATGGCTGTACAGGCGGCTATCCTCAGTCCCCATCACTTCATCCCTTTTTGCTTCCCCGGGTCTCCCGGGGCTCTAGGGATGGACTTTGGGGACCTGGACAAGGGCTGTTGCTACGAAGAGGACGAGACTGGGGGGACCGGTGTTGCCTTGCTTGGTGAAGCTGTGGCTGCCGAGGCAGCCGGCGGCGGAGGCGGTGGCGGGGACTTCAGGGAGGCTACTCGGGACCTGCTGAGCTTCATCGACTCGGCGTCCAGCAACATCAAGCTGGCTCTGGACAAGCCTGTCAAGTCCAAGCGGAAGGTGAACCACCGCAAATATCTCCAGAAGCAGATCAAGCGCTGCACTGGTATGATGACCTCGTCTTCGGCCTCTGCCTCGGGCCCTGCCCCGTCCGTCTCTCCGTCCCCTGGCTCCGCAGCTGCTGTCCCGGCTGGGGCTCCCGAGGTGCCCCCGAAGCGACTGCCTGCCGCCTCCCCCACAACCCCAGGTCCTCAGGGCAAAGCGCCCCCGAAGCGGGAGGGCTCCCAAGCGGCCGCCAGTCTGCAGAGCAAGAGCCTGGCTGCCCTCTTCGAGTCTTTGCACCAGGTTCGAGGCAACGGTGGTGAAAAAGGAGGAGCCGGAACCTTGGCTACGGTGGCTGGAGGAGGAGGTGGAGGCGGCGGCGTGGGAGCCGAAGGAGGAGGTTCAGTTGTGGCAGCAGCTGGGGCCGGTGGGGGCAAGAAAGTCCCTCTGAGGAATCGAAATCTACCCCCGTCCTTCTTCACCGAACCGTCTAGGGCAGGTGGATGCGGCCCGTCGGGGGGCGGTGTGACCCTTCGCGAGCTGGAGAAAGGCGGCGAGGCGGTAGAGTTTTTCGAGCTGTTGAGCCCAGATTACTGTACGGGAGGAGAGGTTGGGGGGTTACTGCCCTCCGAGCCTCTCGACTTGTTCCCAGCTGCCGTGCGGGCCCCCCAGGAGCTGGAACACATCGTATACGATCCGCACCCCACCGTGGTAGCAGGCTTGCTATATTCAGAGCCGTGGAGCACCCAGTGCCCCCCAGCCAAGAAGCCTGTCCCTGCTTCCAATCGTGGGGGCGGCGGCTTGACCTTGAACGAAACTTTGCGCGCCTTGTACCCCGGCACCTCAGACTCCGCTGCTTCCAGTCTGGGCTCCCCTGGGGGAGAGGACACCGCGGGCCACCTGACGCCTTTCTCCCAGTTCTTCCCTGACTGTGCCCTGCCAACCCCACCTCCTCCCCACCAGATGCCTTATGATTACGGGGTGGGGTACAGCCGGGTCGCTTATTCTGGGCTTTAGAGAATGGACTCTGGAGAGAGGGGGCATCCTTGAAGGAGAAATTGTGTAACATGAACTCCATTGTATGTACTCGTAACTCGGCCGTGGGCGAAACGGCGCGGCTCTCCCTTCTAAGCTGAAAGATCGATTAAAAAGTAGACGTGACAATGAAACTGACTTTTTTTTTTGTGTGGGGGCGGGGTGGAGTAATTTTGAAAAGGAAATGTGAAAAGTGTGATAATCATCTACACTCACCCCCATTCCAAAGTGGGGAAAACATAAAAAACAAATTAGATTTTTTTTTTTGGTAAAACAAATGGCAAATGCATACCAGTCAGAGGTTGTAGGCAGAGAGGGAGAGAGTCTTAAATTTCTACCTACCCCCTCCAAGTTTTCAGAAATCCAGGGTCAGTTCGGTTGCATTTGATGCTCTTTTCCTTTCCCAATTTAGTGCACTGGTGTATGTATGTGTGTGGTGGTGGTTTTTACCTCAAGTGGATTATGAATGTCATCATATTAAAACAATAATAAAAAGAAATATTTTATTTCTTTGAGTGTTTTCGTAGATGGTAGTTTTTCATGTTATTCCTAGTATTGATTAGAGCAAATGTTTTCCTAGATAAAGAAAGTTCCACGGTCACAGAGTTCCTTCTGTTTTGAATCTCACTGTTTCCTACCACTGAATTTCATCTTTTACTGATTTTTCTGTTTCTTTGTCCTTCTCTCTTTCTCTCACTCTTCTCTCTGTCTCACCTGTAGCAGTTTCAGTTTTCATTCTTTTATTTCTCTTGCTACTTCCTTCCTTCCTTCCTTCCTTCCTTCCTTCCTTCCTTCCTTCCTTCCTTCCTTCCTTCC